ATATGCTCAAAATTGCATACGAAACACTTTCGATCTACCAGAACCACCGATAGTAATGAGTTTGCATAACTGCCGGTTTCTATAATTATAATGTAGATATTGCAGTTCATTAAATCGTTCAAAGCTCAAGTTCCTGTAAGAAGTTCGCAGCAAAGGTACATAAGTAGTATTTTGTGGATTATAATCTCTCTCTCGATTTTGTTTTGAAAATTGGATACTTTATTGAACAAAATGAAATGAATTTATAGGAGATCTGTTGGTGGACTGTATTACCTGTCATATCTGGATAGCAATATGCTTTTGGGCCGTTCGGTTGGCGGTGGTGGGGTATTCATTTTCACTAGGGCTCAACCATTCATCTGATAATATAACGAGAGAAATGTGGTAACAAGCCATTCGAAACTCACAGTATACTTGTGAAGATAGTTGTCTGTCTGTATGTGAATAATGCCTGCATTCATTCATGACGAGTAAAGGGAATCCTTCCTTTTGTAAGTAAAAGAAATCAACTATATGAAATGTTAATACATTTGTGTAAATACATTGATTTTATTTTTTTCTGGAAAAAGAAATCTGTAAGTATATAGTTTAATTTTGTTTGGGGAATTGGCTCTGTTTTGTTTGAGAAACAATTCCCACTTCCACATTAGCCACAAAATACGAGCAATACATTTTTGGTCGTCTTATGCGCAAGTTGTCGATGGAGGAAAAAAATGAAGTGTGCGGCCAAACTTATTATTCCATATAGACTAACATGGTAAAGAAAGAAGGTTGAATATGGAATACGAGCTCCGTTTACCACATTTAGAGCGAATGAAACCCTAAAGTCGATTTTGCACAAGATGAAGAAGATACAGAGGAATGATTTAATTACATACCCTGGGTATGCCTGCCCAGTGTTTTTTATCAATACAGTTTTTATTTACCGATAAAAGTTCTTTCACACATAAGTGATACAGTTATTCTCAAAAGAGGCAATTTCTAAATCACATGAAATTATCATTTATCCTTTTCGAGAAAAAAAAACATTGAATTAAAATTTAAATAATTATTACATGCTGGTTTTGCAAGTGTAATACATCAATAGAACATATAGAAAGAAACACATAAGTTTGATCAAATCGGGGTGCGTAAACATAACGTCGATGAGTATATATATATCCCGATTCATTTCGTCGATGCCAATGTGCATATCCACTTTTATACGACTTTCTTTCCATCCATTTTCGTTGTTCCCTTTCTCCGTCTATGCATGATAGGTATGCCTAAAGGACGAAGGTTATCTTTGCATCCTCCATTCTCAAATGGCCCAAAATCTCCGTCAGCTTTACATGGCTTTTCTTAATAGTTTGTTTGTTACTTCAACTGTTCCTAAGTCAAATGACTAGTGACACCTTGTCCGTAAAGATATAATGTCGGAAGATGATTATAGTTTCCGTTTTTATAGTCTGTCGTCATAATTCAACGCAAAAGGACAACCACATTTTTTAACATGATTTTGAGTACATATCAATAAGGAATGCCAGTGGCGAAGCGAGCATGAGGCGCCCACCCTGAATTTCAAAAACTTAAAACTATTGTTTTATATGTATCCATCAAATTATATTGTGAATATATAACATTGAACTTGTCTTGTAACTATTTCAGAATTTAATTATGCATGGAAGTCCTAATGAAGTACAACAGTACGAGTAAAATTCAAAATTGCCCCTGAGGTTTGTCCTCGACTTCAAATTCATCCTTCAGGTTCTATTGAACTCCAATTTTGTCCTCGATGCCCCGCAAAAAAAAAAAAAAAAAGAAAATTCCGAGGTCCCAAAACTGCTCTTTCTCATTTTAAAAACTATTAATTCATGATTTGATTTTTTTTTTTTAACATGAAATCTTACTAAAAAAGAAATATATTATCTTAATACATAAATTTGATCATTGGTCTCAATTACGTAAAGTTGCATTTTTTTCCAGTTCATTTAAATGATACACATTCATCCAGTTCATCTTACATAGTCCACATAAATTGCATAATCAATAACATAATTAAAGGATTTCAATAATCTTTTCTAATATATATGTTAAATATATACTTTTTTTTTTTTGTTTTTGTCAAGCTTTCATAGCTC